CCCTCTTGTATGATTGAGAAGATCTGTAAGTTACCCCCTTCACCTGTGCAAAGAGTTTTGATGGCTGAATGCTCTGAGCTCTCACTGCTCAGATTATTGCCATTGCTTTTTGGATCCATCATCACATTGGACATGGCAACACATGTGTCATCACAGACTGGGCACAAATGAAAACACTGCTTTTCTGATGCAGAAGCTACCATGATATACCAAATCTGTGACTCCTTCCACAAGTTAACTCGTTGTGATGAGAAAGTGCACACAGCATGAAGTGTGGCCCACCTGCTCCTGGCCAACTGACTACATCACACTTCAAGCCCCTCTCCGATTTGCATCATAGTTTATATGTTTTCAGGTTAAAATATTGCTGTTTCAGTCTGCTCAGCCCACTCCAGCCACACAATTGTGGATCTTGGAACTAACCTGTATCAAGTTTTCAGCTTTCTGGACTATTTGTAGCCTAAAAATGGAACATCTTTCATTGCACAAGCCATGTAACAATGGGCTGATAGTTAAGGTATTTGATAGACTTCCACACTCTCTCCCATCCACTGGCATGTGGTATTGTTGAGCATTGGAATGGCCTCCTCTAAAAGGAACTCAAAAGGATTTCAGACTCTGCCTCTCTCACCCTCTCCTGCTCCATACATGCTCTTTAGTAAGGCAGTTTAATTCATGAATATGGTTGTCCCCAGAAAGGAATCATCTCCTTTCAGCTGCTCCCTGGGTAATGATCAGAACAAAAGGTGTTAGGAGTTATATGGACATATTTTGACAACTTGGGATCCTGTCTCGTTGCTAACCCTCTGGGAGGCAAAGCATCCAGAAAGAAGGGTGCCTAAGAGATGTCAGTTTAATTCTGGTTGTCACCTGGATTCTCTGGTTGCATTAACATTGTCCTAGAATAATGTGGTCGGCAAACTCATTAGTTAACAGAGCCAAATATCAACAGCACAACGATTGAAATTTCTTTTGAGAGCCAAATTTTTAAAACTTAAACTATATAGGTAGGTACACTGTTATTAACTTAATTAGGGTCCTCCTAAGGCTTAGGAAGAGCCACACTCAAGGGGCCAAAGAGCCGCATGTGGCTCGCGAGCCGCAGTTTGCCGACCGCGGTTCTAGATCATAAAGATAATTGCTTCTTGGTTCAGTAGACTTGCTTACTGTGTTCCCCTTTAATGACCCACATGGGCCAAAGGGTAGAACATAACAGATCTCTGTAAGCTTATTAAAATGGCCTTGTTCCTCTTTCATCTCACTCATTGAAATGAAAGGTCTGGAAACTAGTAGGAGATGATTGGGGTGGGGGTGAATTTAATACCTACTAGAATGAACCCTAATGATTTTATGTCAGCAGAGGGTGAGTAACAACAGCGAAATTGAAGAAGAAACACCTTAAACCCCAGGAGGTACAGGAAAGGGAGGGGCATTAATAAGCTGTCTTTCTGAACATGCCTTAGTACATCTTCCCCAAACTGCCGCAAGGGCATAAAATTTACCTGTCAGGTCTGCCAATACCTGCATCCACAAGGTTATCACCATTCCCCTTAAGCTTGCTGAGAAGTCTGTCAGAAACAGCTGGGAAGGCCCCAGCTCCTGCACCACACACAAAACACCTGTCAACACCTTCAACTGTCTGCTCTCCTTGAGCCATTTGCCCTAGCAGCTGCTCAGTCATTATGCAGCTTGTGACTTGGACATATAGGACAGGTTGGAATGAAGGCCTTCAGGCAGTCTCTCCAATAACAAGAACTAGACTCAAATTTTCAAACAGAACTGAGGACCCTTAATGTTGAACATAACCTGAGCCCAGTTAAGAAATCCCCCCACTCTTTTATGCTCTTAGAACCGACTTACCACAAATATCACCTTTCCCCTTATGGCTCAGATAACATTTGCTGTTCACTCTTTCTCATAACCCCCATAAGACTCCTGGGGCTTACGTATGACAAGGCCAAACGGAGACCTTTCTCCTTTTATTGAACTTGCTGAAAGGCTAGACACAGACCCTCCAACTCCCCACTTTCTCATGAATGATTAACTGAGAGATTAGAGTTAAACTAGCTAGCTAGACACAGAGATAAGCATTTCTTTTCCAGCTGACGGAGACTTCTCCTGAATGCAGAAACAATCCTACCTATAAATCTCCCCACAATAACTTGTCTAATCCTCAGTATGAAAATAAAAGGCAAAACCACCTTGCTGAGAGACTCCGACTTTCACATCTGGGGTGCTCTCCCTATTGCCTGAATAAAATCAATTTCCTTTTTTGTTCAGTTTTGTCTTTAATAGTTAGAGACTATCAGCTGGATGAGAGGCCACATTGGAGGCACTCTCAAGCTATGTCTCCTGACTGCTGGAGGACCCACCAATTGTAAAGAGCACTTTCTTTTGGGGGGCGTCCTGGGATTGTACTTCTTATGCAGAAGCCAGGCATTAACTTGCCTTCCTCCCCAAAACATGGTGATTTTCACCTTAAGGGTGGTCATATGTGAACTGAAAGTTTGTGAGGTGGTGATTGGTGGTTCAGGTAACCCATAAATGACTCTGAGGGTCTCTCTAAAAGGAGGCAACCTACTTGGTTGCTAGTAGGAGCTTCTTAGAAGAGTAAATGGCTTGCTATTCATGTGAACCCTGAGGGCAGTTATTCCTATAATAGGAATCATCCAATTAGAAAAGGTGGTAGGACATTTGTCCCTGATTGTATCTGAGGTGATCAACATAATATCTTGGCTCTGGAAAGTATTCCAGGGTCAGGCTCAGCTTGCTGTCCAAACAGAGGATGAAAATGCCGCCTTGGGCCAAGACAGAATCTGTGCAATCACTAATACATCCTGCTGTACCTGGATTCATGTCCCACACCAAGGACAAAAGTCAATATAGAAACTTAGGCAGAAAGGCACCTGGCTTTGTAAGGTAAACATTGATGGCTTAAAAGGATTTGTTCAGCTCATTGAGTCGGAACCCCAGATGTCACAGATGAGCAAAATACTGCAGACTGGCCTCATTCTGCCACTTGGAGTCCTGTTGATTAAGTGTGGCATAAGATAAATTGAACAGCCTGGGCTCTCATCTCTGCCAGTCAGATTAATCAGAGTAGCTGACAGAGTAGTATACTCATGGGAAATTTTGCAGAAGGCAAGACAGTGCAGAAATGAAGGGTGGATATTATTGGGAGACAATTCTCAACAGATCTCTTGTGTTACAGTGAGCATTTCTACATGTCCTGGTACATCAGCCAAGGGTTTCTGCTCATATTTCCCTGAGAGAATTGTTTCCTCTTATGATCTACATATGCTTTGATGAAGAAGGCTAAGATGTTTTCCAAAGAGATTATGCCAATTTACTCTCCCACCAGCAGCAAATGAGCTGCTGGTATGTGCTGATAGGGGCCTATAAGCTGCTGATATGGCTCCTCATCCTAGCTACCACTTGTCATCATCAGTCTTCTTTTTTTTATCTTTAAATTCTTTATTAGTTAAGGAATTACAAATGTGTCCTCATCCCCCCCCCCTCTTTTTATTTTCTTCATAGTCACTTTTCAAATTCAGACTCTAAAAAAAAAATCATGTGGTATTTATCTTTCTCTGACTGGCTTATTTCACTTAGCATAATGCTCTCCAGTTCCATCCATGCTGTTGCAAAAGGCAAGAGTTCCTTCTTTTTTACTGCAGCGTAGTATTCCACTGTGTAGATGTAATCATCAGTCTTCTTAATTTTAGCCATTCTGGTGGGAGTGTAGTAGTATTACACTGTGGCTTAAATTTTGCACTTCCCTGATGACTAATGAGACTGGGCACCCTCTCAGGTGTTTGTTAGCCATTTGGATATCTTTTTTGTTACATGTCTATTCAAATAAGGCATTTGACTACTGTGTAGTCTGCTTTTTCTTACTGTTTTGTTATTCTTGATATATTCTGGCTAGAAGTCCTCCATTGTCTATCTCTTCTACTCTGTCGCTTGTAATTTTCTTCTTAATGAAAGTGATTATTATAAAAATCAAGATAGTAACTATCTTTGGGAGGAGAGGGACTCTGAAATTATATGGCCACTTTCTAGACTGACAAAATGAAAAATCAGTGAGCTGTACATTTTTGTATGCTTTTCTGTATGTATGTTATATTTCACAATAAAAATAGTTTTAAAAATATAGGCTTGCCCTAACTGGTTTGGCTCAGTGGATATATTAATAAAATAAAATGCCAGGAAAGCATTTAAAAATATATATATATATATATAGGCTTAATCTATAACCCATCAACTCCACCCCTATGTATACAGTTAAGAGAGGCGTATACACATATACATGAAAAGAAACAAACAAAATTTTTTGTTCATGGTAGCATTGTTTATAATTCATATTACATTTCACCAAAATACTTAACAATAACAAAAGCCAATAAAAATTTGTTTAGTAGGCCACCTTTTGTGAAATAAAAAGGAGAAAGTAAGAATGTGTTCTCAGCTGCTTTTATTTGCATAAAGGAACCCTAACCATGCAGTAAACTAACCTGGTTATGTGTATTAGACACAGGTGAGCAGATAAGAGAAAGATGAATGAGAATTTAAACTACTATATTTTTTTATAGCCTCACCCAAGGATGTTTTTATTTTTAATTTTTTTTCTTATTTTTTTAAAAATATATTTTATTGATTTTTTACAGAGAGGAAGGGAGAGAGATAGAGGGGTAGAAATATCGATGAGAGAGAAACATCGATCAGCTGCCTCCTGCACACTCCCCACTGGGGATGTGCCCGCAACCAAGGTACATGCCCCTGACCAGAATCGAACCCAGGCCTGAGGATATGTTTTTATTGATATAGAGAGGGGGAAAAGAGAGAGAGAGAGAGAGAGAGAGAGAGAGAGAGAGAGAGAGAGAGAGAGAGAGAGAGAAGAGAGAGAAACATCAATGTGAGAGAGAATAATCAATTTGTTACCTCCCAAACTCACCCCCAACTTGGGTACGTGCCTTGACTGGGAAATGAACTCACAACCTTTGAGTGTACATGACAATGTTCCAACTAACTGAGCTACCTGGCTAAGTTTAGGCTATGTAGATTTTTATAGTTTTGAATTTTTATATATTTTCATTTTTGAGCTATGTGTCTATATTGTCAACCAAAATTAAATTTAAAATTATTACTAATATTTTTAGAGTGATAAGATGCTGCATCCATGAAACAAAAATAGCATGCTATTAAAAGAGAATATTCTGAAAATAAAGAGCTATTTAAAATAAAAAATATGTAACAGCATTAATGAGAGACACAAAAGGAGATTTATAAGATAAAGTGTTCCAAAAAACTCTTAGAAAGGAAAACAAAAGATAAAGAAATGGAAAGCAGAACAAAAACTAAAAAAATTAGCCGAAACCGGTTTGGCTCAGTGGATAGAGCATCGGCCTGCGGACTGACGGGTCCCAGGTTCGATTCCGGTCAAGGGCATGTACCTGGGTTGCGCGCACTTCCCCAGTGTGGGATATGCAGGAGGCAGCTGATCGATGTTTCTCTCTCATCGATGTTTCTAACTATCTCTATCTCTCTCCTTTCCTCTCTGTAAAAAATCAATAAAATATATTTAAAAAAAAAAATTAGGAGGTTCAACAGCTGAATAAGAAGTTTTTTGAAAAGTAGAGAAAATGACTAGACTGGAAATAGGCTTTTAAAATTCTGCACAAAAATGATTTCCAACCGAGAATTCTATATCTAGATGAAAAGATAAATTTAGTATCAGAGTCAAATAAATATATTTCCACCCTGGCTGGCATGGATCAGTTAGTTGAGTGTTGTCCCAGGAACCAAAAGGTTGCTGGTTCAATTCTCTGTCAAGGCACATAACCAGTTTGCAGGTTCAGTCCCCAGTTGGGTGCATGTAGGAGGCAGCTGATCAATGTGTTTTTTTCTCTCTCTCCCTTTCTCTCCTTCTAATACATATCCAAGGCACTTATTACTTTTTTATTTCTATAAATGTATTTCTACAATTATATATATTAAATAAATATAATTTTGCATGACATTTTCAGACATACAACGTTTCATAAAATCCACCTGTCATGTATCCATTTTCAAGGATAGACTGGAGGATGTGCTCCCACAAAATGAGGGTGTAGACCAAGAAAGAGGAAGGCAGAGGATCCAATAAACAAGAAAGAAGACATAGGAACCCAGGAAAGGGGATGTGCAACAAGACAGAGGTGAAAAGGATTTCCTGGGAGATAACATAGGGAAGACACCAAGATAATAGCTGTGTGTGAAGTTGAGGGAGAAACCAGACCAGCAGCCTGGTCAACAAGTTCCAGGAAAGAATTTATCACAGAGAAGACATTGCTGCCTTGAGTTGAGACCATTCCCACCTACCAGTAGCTGTGTAAAATTGAGCCAGATAGTTTTTCTCTATGCCCACGTTTCCCTCTATAAAATTGGAGTAACAATGACACACACTTCTTGAGGTTGTTATGAAGATGAGTTAGTATATGTAGTATGTGTATAACAGTGCTGGGCACATAGTAAACATTATGTGAGTGTTTACAATTATTGTCACTATGATTATTATCTATATGTTTGAATATACAGAGAGGAGATTTAAACAATTAGAAAGAATTTGAAGTTGAATTATTGATCTGTATATAGTAAAGCAAAGTAATGACTAAACCAGAAAACTGTTAATTCCAAGAAAAAGAAAAAGTAGTATAGAAATAGGCACCTCTTTGCCTTCCTTACCTCACAGGAGCTGTCTCTTCCTCCTGCAGTCAGGGCCAGGGACCACTGGGGAGAGCTCTGGTTGGCTGGCATGTTTACTTGGGCCTCAGGCCTCAGGCTCTTTTGCTGACAACTCCGCTCTTACCAGGAACCTAGGGACAGGCAGGGTCTGTGGACTCAAACAGAGCTTCTGGGACCAGAAGGAAGATCTTGTAGCCTTCACTGTGGGGTCTGGTCCAGGAGCTCCACAGAGACTCCAAGAAACCTGAAAAGACAGTGTTCACATGGTTAGTCAAACCAGCATTCATGCCACAAACGTTACTTGGGGGCACCAGAGTATGGCACTGGATGCTGTGGGAGTAGAAAATGTCCAGTCAACACCTATTCTAGTTATTCACAAAAATGGAATATGAGCGAGACCACAGATTTAGACTAAAATTAATGAAGGCTTAAATTCTAGCTCAGCCAACTTTTAGCTATGAGAATATGAAAATGTTTCTTTAGGTGTTTTTTTTCAAAATGAGTCAAAACCATTTATCTCAAGGGGTTGTGAGAGTTAAATAAGATGATGTTTGTAAGGCACTTAGCACCAGACCAGACCAGACGAGCCCAAGTAAACTTTTAATTCATATTAGCAAGCATTGTTATTACAAGGAATCATCTAATGTGCAGAAGCAGATACCTCATTTAATTTGCACAACAATCCTATCATCAATGTGTTGCTGCAATTATTATTTCATTTTATGCATAAAGAAACAGAAGTTTACAGATGTTAAGTAAAACCCAGTCTATGTGGTTTCAAAGTTCACATTGTCAATACTATACCATATGGTACCTGTTATATGGTAGGCTCAAAATAAATGTGGTTCTGTTTACTAGATGTTGAAAACATGACTTTGATTTGGAATAAAAATGTTAAGTAAAGTTTCTTAAAATAGAAGAGACAGATCAGAAGGAAAATACTAATAGGCTGAGACTAAAATTGTTTAACTGCCTCAAAAATATCCAAAGGTAAAACTGTTTCTCCTGTTGAGGGAAGAGAGGGTGTCTCCATATCCAAGTTGAGGTATAATTTTATGCTGGTGAACCAATAGAGGCCCTACAGATTTAGTCATTATTTTTAGGAAAGAGAAGGGGCGATATCAACATAAAATGAAGAGAAATTAAGACAACAAAAGTAAGAGATGAGATAAAGAGAAAACAAGAAAGTTAAATAAGAAGTAAATAAAATAAAAGGCATGAACAAGTTAAATTTTAAACACAAAGATGATGATGCACTAAAGAAAGAGAAAATATGCTTTCTTTTCTTATGCCCATGGTACTCTTATAAAATTCCATCCAATAACTTATCTACAAAGAAAATCTGGTAGATGTTTTAATGCTGAGAATTGACAGGCTACATTCTTTGTTCATAGAATAAGGTGTTCAATGCCATTAGTTATTAGGAAATGTATATCAAAACCAAAATTTTTAATTCATTTGGAGACCATTTCATATCCATTAGGATAGCAAAAATAACAACAACAAGAAACAATAACAAGTGTTGGTAAGGTGTGAATACTCTGGAGTGCTCATACATTGCTGGAAGAATTGTAAAATAATTCAGGCATTCTGAAAAACAGTTTGGCAAAATGTTACCCACAGAGCCACCATATGATCCAGCAGTTCCACTACTAGGTATCTACCCAAAACAAATGAAAACACATGTATACTCCAAAACTTGTACACAAATATCCACAGCAGTATTATTCATAACTAGAGGTCCGGTGCACAAAATTCGTACACTCCGGGCGGTCCCTCAGCCCCGCCTGCACCCTCTCAGAGTCTGAGGAGCAGGCCTAAGCCGGCAGTTGGACATCCTTAGCACTGCCGCAGGGCTTCTGGCTGAGCAGTGCTCCCCCGTGGGAGCCAACTGACCACCAGGGGGCAGCTCCTGCATCAGTGCATGTCATAGTGACCAGTCATTCTGCGGTTGGGTCAATTTGCACATTAGCCTTTTATTATATAGGACTAGAGACCCGGTGCATGAAATTCGTGCACTGGGGGTTGGGAATCCCTCAGCCCAGCCTGCCCCCTCTCACAGTTCAGGAGCCCTCAAGGGATATCCTACTGATGGCTTAGGCCTGCTCCACAGTCTGGCCACAGAGGCTCAGATCAAGTGCTGAGCGCTCACGTGTGTCTGTGTGTGTGTATCCACTGGGCGCCTGCCCCCAACTGTGTCACAGGCTTGGAGCAGATGCCGTGTGTGTGTGTGTGTGTGTGTGTGTGTCTGTCTGTCTGCTGGGGTTCTGCCCCCAACTGCGTCAGAGGCTCGGAGCAGGTGCCCCTGTGTGTGTGTGCCTGTGTGTGTCCACTGGGGTCCTGCCCCCAGCTGCGTTGGAGGCTCAGAGTAGGCACCCCGTGTGTGTGTGTGTGTATTTGTGTGTGTGTCCGCTGGGGGCCTGCCCCCAGCCACGCTGCAGAGGCTTGGAGCAGGTGCCCCTCTGTGTTGATCTCTCAGGCTCTGGGCTGCGCCCAGCCCCTCCTCCTGAGCTGGTTGTGACTGTTATGGAGTCCCAATCTCATTTGCATAATAAACATATATGTATATATATGAAAAAGTAGAACCCACCTAAATGTCCATCAACTGATGAATGGATTAACAAATGTGGTAGATCTATATAATAAAATAGTATTTGCCAATAAAAAGTACTGATATATGCTATAACATGAAAAAACCTTGAAATCGTTATCTTACATGAAAGATGGCAGTCACAGAAGACCAGATATTGCATGATTTCATTTATGTGAAATGTCTAAAATGGGCAAATACATAGAGACAGAAATTGATTGGAGGTTTCCTAGGGTGGGAGTGTGGGATGTCATAAGTGATGAATGTCTGCTATTGTGTACAAAGTTGAAAATGTTCTAAAATTAGATTGTGGTGATTGATGACTGGACAACTCTGTGAATGTACTTAATACCATTGAATCATATGCTTTAATGGGTGAATTTTTATGGTATTGGGATGTATCTAAATAAATCTGTTTTGTAGATCTAAATAAGCCTGTTTTTAAAGAAAAGAAATACAATCCAGGACCACAGTAGAAAATCAATACAGAAGCTATACAATTTTTACCAGTTGTCATGTAACACACCAAAGTTACATATAAAGTGAAATTTATAGCTTTAAATGGCTTTATTTTTAATTAAAAATAAATATAACAAAAAGAGCTATTTGTTCAACCTAAAACATTAGAAGTAGAAAAAACAAAATTAAGCAAACCACCCAAAAAAGTAGTACTCAATAAAAATGAAATTTTAAATCAAATAAATATAACAATAGGGAATTTCAAAGAAACAAAGAGTTGGATCTTTGAGCTGACCAATGTCATTGATAACCCCCTAGCAAACCAGATAAAGGAGACTAGCTTAAACATTTTATATATATATACAAATATATATATATATATATTAAAAGCTGCTTCTTACATCTAATAGGCCAGAACTAGGCCACACGGCACCACCAGCTGCAAGAGAGCCTGGGAGACCACTCATACGGCCCCCATTGAGGATTGCGTCCACAACCCGGGCATGTGCCCTGACTGGGCATCAGACCGTGACCCTCCTGGTTCCTAGATCAACACTCAACCACTGAGCCATGCCAGCCAGGCAACATTCTTTAATATTGATGTGAAAGAAGGGCTTTCCTAGCAAAATGTAAATTAACAAAGTTAATAGAGGAAGAAACACAAAAGAGAACAATGAATGTAGAAGAGACCAGAGCAAAAATGACATAGCACAACAAATACAAAGACTGAAAGGTAGAAAGGAAAGGGGCCAGCCCACAGACCTCAGAGCCCGGGGAACAGTGCAGTGGTGAATTCCCTCTTTCATTTCCCCTCCCATATATCACAAACAAAACATTGTAGAGGTCTATAACTAAAAACTGTCAACAGGCACAGACTAAAAAGCTCTAAGAAAAGTCTACTCCCCTTAATCGAAGTATCAAGAAAAGTGTGGCCTAACTGAACATACCCACCCTACTCCAGACAAACACTAATAGAATACACATTCTCTTCAAGTACCCATGCCACATTCCCTAAGATATACCACATCCAGAGTCATAAAACAAATCTCAACAAATTGAAATCATAAAGCATAAGTTCTTTGATTATAATAGTGCTGAATCAATAACAAAAAAAATAAAACAAAAGTCACCAAAAACTCGGGAATTAATAATCCATTTCTATATAATCATGGATCACAGAGGAAGTCTCAAAGGAAATTAAAAAGTAACAATATAAATACAACCTGTTGAAAATTTGTGGAATGGAGATAAATCAGTGTTGAAAGGGAAATTTATGAATTTAAATGTTTATATTTTCAGAATTAAGGTCTTAAACCAATAATTTAAGCTCCCATCTCAAAAATTAGAAAAAGAGCAAAGTAAACCCAAAACAAGAGAAGGGAGGAAGTAATAAATATAAGAGCAGAAATCAATGAAACTGAAAACAGTAAAACAATAGAGAATATCAATGAAAACAAAAGCTGGTTCTTTTTTAAAAAAATATATTTTATTGAACCTCTGGCCAGGCTCACCAAGAAACAAAGAGAGAAAACCAAAATTATCAAAATCAGAAATGAAAGAGGAGAAATAACAACAGACCCCACAGAAATACAAACGAGTGTTAAAAAGTTCTTTGAAAACGATAAAATTGGTAGTCCTCTAGAAAGATTGACAAAGGTAAAAAGAAGACACAAATTACCAACAGCAGAGATGAAACAGGAGATATAACTACAGATCCTGCAGCTATTAAAAGGAAAGGGAATACCAAACACAGCTTTATGCACATTAGTTCAACAACTAGGATGAAATAATCCAATTCCTCACAAAACACAAACTCCTACAACTCACCCACTATTAAATAGTTACTCTGAAAAGATATTAACTAGATCATCTGAATAGTCATATAACTACTACAGAAACTAAAGACATAATAAAATAGCTTCCAAAAGGAAATTTCCAGACCCAGATGATTTCACTGGAGAATTCCACCAAACATTTAAAGAAAAATTAGCATAATTCTACACAATCTCTTCCAGAAAATAGAAGTGGACATTTTTCAAGTCATTCTATGATGCCAGTATTACCCTAATATTAAAACAGACAAAGATAATACACAAAAAAGAAAACTGTAGATCAGTATTTCTCATGAACTTGATGCAAAAATCCTGGGGGGAAAAAAGCATTAGCCAGTCAATTCCTGCAATACATAAAAGGAAGTATACCACTACAATTACGTAAGCTTTATTCCAGGAATGTAAGGCTGGTTCAATATTCAAAACTCACCAGTGTATTCCCTCATATTAACAGGCTAAAGATAAAAAACATCACAAGATCATATAAATTCATACACAGAATGACAAAATTCAACACTTATTCATGATAAAAGTAGACAGAGACATAGATCAATGGAACAAAATAGAGAACCTAAAAATAGCCCCACACAACTACAGCCAATTTATTTTTGATAAAGATGCAAAACATATCAACAGAGGAAGAATGGTGTTTTCAATAAATGGTGCTTGAATAATTGGACATTCAAACAAAAGAACCTCTAACTTCATATGAAACTTAACTCAAATGGATCATGGACAGCAGGGAGGAAAAATGGACAAATCAGCATCACAGTAGAAAATTTATCTCTCCTCTCCCAGAAGTACAAGAAGCAGACAAAAAAGTGTACAAATATTGTACAATGCAACTGACAACTAAATAATGAAATATTATTGTCAATTTATATATGGAACATGTATAAACATTCACCACGTACTAGGCCATGCATGCCCTCATATTTCAAGGAATGAGCTTCACATAGACATTTTTCGGACCACATTTTTCTCAGGTTAGAAACCTATTAAATAAACTTTTAGAAACTGAAAACGCATTTCTAAATAACTCATGGGCAGAAGGAAAAATTGTCAACTCTTAGAAAACACTTAGCACACAATGCACCAAACCTTGTGGTTTTTAGTGAACTTTAAGACCTTAACATTGACATGAGAAAAGCAAATCCTGCAAAATAATGAGCGAATTATCCAACTACAATTAGACAACCGAGTGCATCACTGATCACACAAAATTCCCCAGCACTCACCCTCCCCAGGGCCGCATCCCTGCGAAACGCCTCCGGCACAGAGCACTGAGATCCTCCTGACAACAACTGTTCAACCGTGGCTGAGAACCACAGCCGCTTCCGGTCACCACCCCTAGCATCGCCCCTTCTCGGGATTCGGGGCGTCTCAGGAAGGGGGCGTGCTTCTGCACATGCGCAGAACCACATTTGAAGCCGCCGGCAGCCAAGAGTTGAGGAGATGGTATGCAGTTGGCACCCCTTGGTAGCACTGGGGAATATGGCCGCGCCCAGGTAGCGCTTCCTCGTCGTGGAATACACCATGTTGAAGGAGTGTCCATTCCCTACGGAGGATGAGGAAGCCTCTAAGTCACAGAGCCCAGCGATGGAACTGTCTCACAGGTGGCGGGAAGCACGCTTTCCGAAGGAGGGGGTCTTTGGTCTATAGATTTGTGTAATAATGTTCAGAGAAACCGAGGGGCCTCTGGAAAGACGCAGAGGTGCCATGCTATCATCTCCTGACAGATAACACAGGA